GTGTTTTTCGGATTTTTCATGATTTCAATTACTAGTAATTCTTGGTGCAACAGTGCACTGACACAGTTTATAATATGCTGCCTCTGATCCGTCTGAAGATCTTTTGAGCCATGAGTATGTTTTCTTTCAATTACTATTATACTTGCGATTGCTGTCATAAAATGCTTTCCATTTTTTTTATGACGTGACCATTGGTAAAAGTATTAAATTCTATCACAGATAGAACTAGGTCTATATCCTATCTATTTTCTGTCCTCAAGTAGTTTCTGAACAGTCTGAATGACTTTGTATCAGTGGTGGGTTTTCGTTTTATGTCTCGCATTTATTCTAGTAAAAACATAAATTACAAAGGTTTACATTTCTAGCAGTCTCGATCCGTTTAGGAGGACAGCAAAGCAATAAGAAATGGCGCGAATCTCCGTTAGTCCACACCAGGACATCACAACAAAGTCAAACTGAAATAAAGATTTTAACTGTAGGGCTACATTGCTTTTGGTAAATTTGAAGAAAATTTAAGCACATCTTGACAAGAAATGCCAGGAAAAACCCAAATATGCCAGAATATGCCAGTTTATAAGTGTATGCCAGTTCAATTTCAAATATGCAAGATTTGTGGAATCTGGCATAAAAATGCCAATATGGCAACCCTGCTCCCCCATCAAACCCTCATGGACACCGGAAGGGAAATGAAAACGGGGAATACTAAAAGAGACTCTACGTAGAACCGTCACCAGGGAAGGCTAATGTACTCGCGTGAAGAAACAAGAAAGGGGGGGGGGGGGGGGGCGAACACACAGAAGTAGGGGATATAAAGGAAAATTGTGATAAAGTAAAGGACCCCTTTTCACGCCTTTAGGCGTATAGGGCATATAGGTCTAAACCTAAATTTTTATAGACCAATCGGCATAAGATGGGTGATGTGGTCAGCATCACGCCGACCGCCTCTACTTCCCGGGACTGCACCCGGTTTGTGATTAAGACAAAATGTAATAGTTCCCCGCTAAACTGCAAAAACAGGAAAGTAGAGAAAAGACGGGTTCTTCTACGCAGAGATCCTAGAAAATCTCACAAGAACTCAGATAATGAATATCTGTATCGTGAGTTACATGACGACAACCTAACTGCATGGATACATACACCTAGACGAACCACGGACAACAGATTTTAAATTAAATCAAGCAAATAAATTATAATCACATTAAACAGCTGTTTATTTTACTGAACTGAATACAGAATTAATGTATACTTCACAAATAATACATTCACAACAACCAACGTGCTCGACCAGAATCTAAAGCGATCAACAGCTAACAAGGAAATATGATAATGACACCACACGCTCAGCGAGATTACCTCAACAATGGCAAAAACCGAAACATATTTAACATTTACGTTAAGCTTCAATATGCCACCAGACCAACAAATCACTTATAGCTACCAGACATCCTAGCGAGAACACACCCAGATATATTACACAGTATAACTACTAAAGACTACTATTTCAGGACTAAATATGGAAACATACCACCGCCGCGAAACCAGCTTGACAAAAAGGTCTTTCCCTGCGATCGCCCAAACCCATGCTGGCTAGCGCAATGTGCAAAGCCGCAATAGCTAGGTAGGTCTCCACAGGGTCCGCCCGGAAGTCAAATAGAACGCTAAAAGACTAAACAAGGTCTTTTATTTACTGACGGTTGGCTAGATTTCTTCGTTTTACTGTCTTAAAGCTAATAGCTGTTCCTGTGGCCTCTTTGGCATGTGACACTAAACTATGGGAGTAATGAATATGCAAGACCTAAATCCGGTGGCAACGAACCGCCAGACATAAAGATCTATGACCTCTGCCCTATTCGCTGCCTTAGGCTCAAGGAAAAAGACTAACCAACTAAGTTACAAAAAGCATTTTCATGTGAGGTTTTTTTTTTAAAAAGTGAACGAACGATCAGTTGCTTAGACACATCGGCGACAGGTCACCTATTGGCTCGCCGGTGCCGAATTTGCCGCCGGTCGGGACGGTATCAAGGTCTTTATCCTTTGTTACATCAACACTGCAGGAAGCATTTTCAAGGCTCTTGATGGCGAGCAATTCTAAGCCACTTTAAATGGCGCACATAACCTAATCACTATTATAATCTAAAGGTCTAACTTCAGGGATGTTGGTTGAATGTGAAGATTTGTTTCAATCAAAGCAGGAAAGCGCAGATTCGACGCCGGTGGAAAAAAAGGGGGGGGGGGGGGGGGGGGGGGGGGGGGGGGGTTTGCTTATTGGACCTCCAATAGGCAGAAGAAGTATTCGGGACATAGAATCAACACTGCAAGAGTCTTTTTGAGTACTACTTGGTGACAAGCAGTTTCTAGCTTAGAATATCGCAGACTATAAAATAACAACATTCACCATCTCAAAAAGGGAAAAGGGGGGGGGGGGGGGTGGGGGTGCTTGATTAGTTGCATCAGCTGACTTGGGAAAAGGCAAGTGGTAGAGATGTTAAGAGATTTAAGTTGGTTTTAGGCGGGTGGTGTGATAGAAATTGGGTGGGATGGGGGAAGTTTCACCGGAGGAGGGGAAATTTAAGACCCTAAATTCCTGCGTACATGATAATAATTATCAGAATATTTTGCCACTAGAACCCAGAGTGCAGCAATGGAAAGAAAGAATTAGAATCAAATGTATACTATGGTGATGATATAAAGAGAACAGCATTACAGTTGAAGTTAGGGCTCGGCTTCATTTGACTGAGCGTTATCTGGAAGATAAAAGTGGAAAATAAGAAAAGTTAAAAAAAAAAAAAATAATTAGCAGAGCGTGGTTTCGATCCACGGACCTCTGGGTTATGGGCCCAGCACGCTTCCACTGCGCCACTCTGCTTCTTAAGTATGGTGGTCATTAAATTATTATATAGTAATAATAGTTGTAATGGTCCTGTAATATATTTTCTGTTTTTCCGTTTTATATTATATATATATTACCAATAACTCTTTAATGTTGTAACGTACCGAAATAAATGTTCTAGTACATCATTGAAGTATCATGAGAAATTGTAAAAGCGTTAACATGTTTACTGACAAATTATCGTGGAACAATATTTATTATTTTATTAAGAGACTTGTTTAAATATGATACAATTTAAATTAAAATATATATAATATTATTTTTTTTATTTATACGTTTTATTAAAATCTATTAATTATTAGCCTAAAAAAATATTGATATTATTTCAATATTTAAGATAAAAAGACGGATATTTGGTTCCGTAAATATAATCCAGCTTTTCTCCAGAGTAACGAGTGTAAACACTTATTATGATTTTCACGGATTGCTTGCCTTAAAGCCGCCAGCCCACAAAACAGGTTCCCAGTTTGAAAATTATGCAAATCGGTTATAATTTTATTACGTATACGCATAGAAACGACAAAACTAATTAAATCGAACTCGGTTTGGGCTAGATTATTTGAAGATTTGATGAACATTTGTTATAAACACACACACATGCATGTTTGATGTTATTATTATATATTAATAATGATTATTAATAATGCTTATTATAATCTGATAATAAATAAAATAATCATTATTAGATATATTTCATTAATATTTCACACACACCAGTTCCTGTAGCGACATGACATTTTGAAATTGCTGTGTTGGCTTCGGTAGAGATTCATTAATTGTCAGATAGTTTACGTTGTATAGAACATGTTCTTTATTACGTCCCTAGTCTAAATCTGACGTTGGCGACTCTGAGCTGACTAATCCTCTGTGCTCTTTATTTATGTATAATGATATGTGCATAACATCCCCTTCCCCTTATAATTAAAGATGCTAGCATTCACCATACAGTGTCTTTACAAAAAAGTGCTGGTCTCACTACATGTGTCTATATCAATAGAACGAAAGATATGGTCCCTAAAAACAAGATGCCAGTACTGATTACCATCAGAAGAAATAAAAAATGCCATCGTGTTCTATTGGCTAAAGTGGGGTTGCACCTTTTCAATTCCCATAGATTATAATAGATAATTGAATGAAGCAGTAATGGAAACAGAAAAACTTAGGTGCACCACTTTCACATAGACTAATTACACACTTTTAAATGTAAAAACAAATATATTGTCAGAGTACTCCAGTATGTTTTAACTAAACTTGAGATACACACCATGAATGTCACACCCAAACATTTTGGTGGTCACGCATTGTAAGCATCGTTTGGATCTTTCCTCCATGACATAATGGTGTGCTGGGAAATGGAATAAAAAAACACACAGACTCACTGGCTGGTTCTGCTTCACTTAATTTGCTTAGTAGTTAATGACAAGGTAGTCGAGATCAAAGCCCTTAGGAGTAAGCCTATGTGAAGAATATGTAAGAGCAAACAGACCGTCATAACTGGAGAGATATTGAGTAGTCATTATTTGATGGTCAAGGCTGATATTTTACCCCATACTTGTGCCATAAAGTCACAGAAAATCGCTATCGCCCTAAGCTTTCCACAGTTTGATTACTTATTCTCTAGTATTTGGCTTTAGTGCCATGATTAGCAAATAATGTTCTGCTAAACTGGAGATGCTACAGTCAGGTCTGCAATTCACAGAGGCAAGAAAAATGTAAGGTAAAAAAAATAAAGCCTTCTTCTAGAATACACAGAGAAAATATATACATTTAAAAAGTAAATTTATCAGCACTAGTGTAAAAGAGACTGTGCTGTGAGTACTGACACATTTGTTTTTCAAAATATACTTTATGGTGAGTACAGGTACCTTTTGTTCTAGGAACACACATCACTCAAACACACATATGGGAGCGCGAGCACACACAAGCATGGGCACATACAACACACACAAATACACAGTCTGAAATGACTCAATCCAAACAAGAATTTCAAATTAGAAAGGTTTTTAAAAACTAGTCTTAATTGTGAAGGAATCCTCCTAGTCCCCTAAGAAATCAGTAAACAAGTTTTTATTTTTTGAATGTCTCAGTACGCACATAATCCACTTTTGAAATGGATGATGACATCGATGAAGCTGCAAGAAGTTGGAGGAGTAAACCTAAAGACTCATTCCAGAATGAACTTCAGGCAAAACTCAGGCAGCGGAAATATCAGGGAATGTCAGTAGATGTCTCAGACAGTGATGATAATGATCGTTCAAATCCTGAAATAGGTATTTATATGCAGCTGTTTTGTTTTCATTGGTATTTTATAAATGTGTAATCATGTATTATAAGTGTTCATACATCTCTATATCCTCTTTATGTCGCTGTTGACACATAAGGCTTTCACAATTGATCTCCATTGCTGCTGGTCTACTGCTTTTCTGCCCATGGTATCCCATGTCAAATTAAATTCCTTCATTTCCCTCTCTATTCTCCTTCTCCCACCAAATATCTGGCAAACTTCACTTCTTTCCACCAGTTCAATGATTTCCCATGTTCTTGTTTCCGTAACAAAGTTTTTTTAAAACGGTAATGGCTTGTCAATCCTTTGCCCAACTCCTAACCTGGAGGACCAGGGTGCTAGTTTAGTCTGACTCTTCTTCTCTAAATCTTTTCGGCATGGTTAAACCTGCCAGGGAAACAAGTCCCCTGCCGGCATAGCTCTGGGAGTCGTTAGGATACTCAAGCCATCTCACAACAACAAGGCACCAGCACCGTGGGAGTTCATACATGTTGACATCTTATTTTTATTCAAGATTCACATTTCTACTTCAAACAACAGTTTTGAATAGATATAGCATTTAATTATATTTAGCATCTGAGACAAGAATGTTCAACTAAGTTTACTCAGGGGCCAAAATTGTAAAAAATAAGGATCGTCAGGGGTCAGAAGTCCAAGCCCAAGCATAGAAAGATCCCCAGTACAATACACTGGCAGTGATCCGCAGGACACTGGCTGGGCCTCAGCGGGCCGCAAGTTGAATAGCTCTGATCTATGGTATTTGAATGTGCTGTGTCATTTATATTTTTTCCATATTGCCTTGTTATGTATGCCATCTTCTATTATTATTATCAAAGAAATTGATGTAGTTTGTTATCTCAACAGCTGGACTTTCTTTTAAAAGAAAAATGGTTACTTAACTGTAATTTTTTTAATGTTTATTTCTAAAATTTTTTTGTTACTTTTAAATAGTGTGATTTTGTTTAATGGATGTAGCTTTGAGGTAGAGTTAATACATTTAATAATTTAATTATTCTTGAGTACCAAGTGTTTGATTTCTACAATAGTATAAGAAGGAGAAAACTGGAATACGTGACAGTAGGAGAGTTGGAGCGGAGGAGAGGCAGAGGGAGACCAAGAGAACAGATGCTGGACAGTGTGACATCATGGCATATAGGATCATCTGTATCAAAGTTGATTGAAAGTACATGAGACAGAAGGTTGTGGGTAGACCTAACTACCAATGCCACACAGCATGGACTTTGAGATGAAGTATGAGAGTTACACCATTGTGGAAATTGGAGCCTCACACCACATAATATTTCAAGGACAGCAGTTGGTGCACTGTGGTCAGCCTTCATTTTTTGAGATGGCACATGTTTGTTGTTGATGTACCATGTCTTCTCCTCATTTATGCCGATCTTATTTAATTCTTTTATAGACTGTGCCTCTGGTCGAGGCGGCCAGAAGAGCTAGAAACAGAACCTTATATCTCCCTCAACACCCACAGCGGTAAAAGAGGAAGAGAAGAAGAAGATAGACTGTGAATTGTTACAAAACAAAAAAGATGCATGATTGTGAGTTAGGGGACTGAACATCTACCTAGGCATCTCGGGCAAGGCAAAGTACTTGCAAACCAGTGATCTTTCTGCTCATGTTTAAATTCTTTGAGGTTTGAACAACGGATTAACATCATGGCACACGGGTAGTAACTCATAAGTGCTCCGTTCTTTCTTGTAACTCAAGTTTGAGTCCGAAGAAGCTCAGCACAGTGCACAGGCTCTGTAGCACCAGCAAGGATCCTGAAATACTTTGGGTAGATTTTTAACTCCTTGTTTTTGCCCGGGCAGCGCTGTTAGGCTACTCATTTCGATTTTTTTACATGCGCAACAATGCACATGGGCATCCGATCTCACTACCCAGAGACCAGGGGGAATTACTAGAAGTCCAAGTCCATGAGAAAAAATCCCAGCCCTTACAGGGGATTGAAACCGGAACCTATAGGCACTCGAGGTGGACACCATGCCTCGAGACCACGCAGCCCTCCCCTAAATTTTTTGATAGTACGGAAAAAAGCAGGCTGAATAACCTGTTTTCTAAGCCAAATGTTTCAATTTAAAACCTACCATTAAAGAATATCTATATAGATCTTTTGTGATTTTAATATTTTTGTGTTCGATCTTTGCTTGTGCCTTCATTTTTTGAGATGGCACATGTTTGTGCATTTGTCAGAGATTCTCTTTTTTTTTTTTTTTAAATCTTTACGAAGAGACTGAAGCATTTATGGAGATTCCCGTATGGAATGAAAAAAGATCTTTTCCTGAAGCCCCGAAAATCAAACCAGCTGATTCTGCTGGATTTAATAGATATTATGAATGGCTTTTAATCCCACCAGGACATCACATCAAGTGATAAACACCCTGTGACACAAAGTGCCACCATTTGGATGAGGATCACCCGGGGTCAGGTCCCAGAAACCGCATTCGACTCATAGGTTGGATTATATTAGGGCCTTCTGCAACAGCCAAGGTGGGGCTTTAAATTAAAAAAGTTAAAAAATTGCATCCTACACTGAGATGCAGTATTGTATTTTTAAAAATAAATATTACATCTGCCCCTAACTTATATAGAACTTTGTACCACCATGTTTTGTCAGTCTTGTATGCTATTTGATTCTAATTAAGTCTTTTGGTAACAGAGAGTTTAGTGTGAGAAGAACAAGGGGTACTAATGACATTTGAAATGGCACAGATATAACACAATGAAACAGTATAAAGCTGCTGCGCAACATGCAGTTATTATACGTCAAAGTGACCAGACAGTATTAGGATACTGTTAAAACAAACAATTGTGTTAAAAATGAAATGTTAGCAAATTTCCTGTTTGAAAAGAACAGACCCACTGCACGCCAACAAGTATGGCATAAAATGCTGACGTTCTGCGTTGAAAGGCACATATATCACAGTGCCAAATACCTTTCAAGGGTAAACACAGAAGAAAAAGAAGAAGAAGAAGAGTTAGTATACATACAGATGACATGCTTAGAAAAGTTCTTGAAGTTAAATAATAAATTTTTTCCCACCTACTTTCGTACTTTAAAGCACAAAGGGGAAGTTAGTTTCTATTTTAAGGAACTTACAAAATGTAGTAAGCTTTTGTAGATGTATATAACAACATAGCCATTGCGGATTAGAAAAAATAATAACAGAGGGCATGGTACTAAAAAGGAGAGGCAGGAGCTGACTAACACAAAGATGGGCAGAGGATATAAGTGACTCCTTGAATATGAAAGTACATGAGGCCGGAGAGCTGGCTAGAGAACTAGTTTCTTTCAGGCAGACTGTGATTAAAGCAACATTCTGGAAAAGATCTGCTACACGATGATGATGATATACAATATTGCATAATATGTTATTCTGTATTTATGTTTGGTCTAAGTGATATAAAGAAATTTGACTTGATATTTTAACAATGCAACACATTGTATGATTTGTCTTTGAAAGTAATTTACAAATGCCTTTTTATTGTGCTTATTGAATCCCAAGAGAAACTGCTGCAAAATCTTTTGAGGTTGGAACAGTAAATTAATCTTGAAATATTCTGTAAAATATTCATACAGATGGAACAAAACGTCCAACTGATTACAGAAGAAGGCGCCGTCAAACCTCAGATCTCAGTCATGGCCTTGGGACTCAGACTATGAGAACAAAAGACCTCTCTCACATGCTTAATGATAACTTATCTGAAGATGATGATGTTGATGAAGAGATCATTGCAGCAAACCTTGGTAGATCAGCTTCTCGAGAAAGTGTGCATTCTGGTGGCTTAAAGACACCATCACCTAAACAAGAATCAAAATATTTACGTAAACCAGCTAGGAAAGAGCATTCTGAAAATGTGAGTGCGTCTGGAAGGAAGACACCTGTGAAAGACACAAGCCCTCATTCATCTGTATCTAAAGAAGATGGATTGTTTGGCAGAAGGACCCCAGTTAGCAAAGAGGATAGGTAAGTGGAATATAGTTGTACATTTGCTGTACTATAGAAAAATATGCTAACATTTAACATAATAGATTTAATTAATTATATGAACAATTTTGCTGTCTTTATTAAGATGACAGAATGGCAAAGCCCCTTATTAACATTTAAAAAAAGAAAGTACTTAAAACACATGAAAATTTAGAAATTTTGATATTACAGGCAAGAGAAACCCATTTAGCACCAGGAAATCTGTGGAAGTTAAAACATTTAAACCCTATTTCTAAACTCTAGAGCTTGAGCCATCTAAAGGAAGAAAAGATGCTTAAAGTGACAGAAAAATGTAACCATATGAACAATAACTCTATGCACAGAATAAACAACAGCTTAAAAAAAACAACTGAAAAGACAAAGCTTCCACCAACTATCAAAATTGTTCTGCGCCAAAACAGTGACACCCTTTCTAAAGACCCTTCAACATGGGAAATGATCCAGGTAAAAAAACATAGACCTGCAACCTAACTATACAGTCACAACAACAATCCCAGGCATAAACAGAAAGGCTGAATAATGTGACCTAGTACTGCATGAAAATGCCTCATGTCTACAACTTTTACCCAAAATGACACAAGTATACACTGATGAATCATTGGAGTAAGCAGCAAAAAAAAAAAAACAGATTAACTGGTTCGGTCATCCTGCAGCAAAATAGGACCACAGTAGAAATTTCATGTGCCTCTAGGAAACAAACTCTCAACAAACTTCAGAGCAGAGCAACCAAAATGTTAAATGTTGAATTAAGAATCAACATCACAGCACTGAGGACACTTTCATAAGTGCACATCCCCATCTTCAGCAGCAAGCCAAGAGTTCAAATTTTGATGGCACCAGTAACTCCAAAGAGCCCTCACAACATCTAGCTTGTGATACATCAGTTAACCACTAAGTGGTGCAGAATTGGCCAGTCTATCTGCCTGCTAATTTCTCAAAACACCAGCATGACCTGGAGAAAATATCCAAAAGACGCTAACCATCCGTGACCTCCGAAGTGATGCTTACCACTTTGCATGGAGCATTCCTGTCTCCACTATTCTTAACATGCTCTGTGAGTCAGTTACAATTACAACATGTGTGTACAGCTGATTCTCAAGGCAGCGGTGATAGCCTCCGCCTCCATTCTCAAACTAGACGTTGTGATATCATTTGCAAGGCTTTGTTGCAGTATGCGACATCCATTCACTTTTGCTATGAAAACCCATGCACTTCATCCACCTCTCAACACAGAGCTTTCTGTATAGATAAATATATCACCTGGGTGAGAATTTGCATGAATCATTTGTATTTGAACTTCTGATTCAGCGGCATCAGCTGGCCAGTCAGTGGACTCTTGACCTGAAGTGATTAGAACCCTACACAAGCCTGATTCTTGCTCAGAGTTCTCCTTGCCCAAATGTATCAAGCGTGCACGCATGTCTAATTGTGTCTTCAGCCCGCACCATCCAAGACCGTCCTGTTTTCACTCTGGGACCCTTAGTTCTATCTAGGGCTTTATGCAGAAGGTGCTTCTTGTCTGCAGCTACTCTGAGATATGACTTTGCTTTCAGAACTTTGAGCCTATCTGCAATAGTAGACAGTGCAAGTATATATCGCATACATACTACCGGGGTATCTTTTGTACATCCTAGAATTACTTGCATGGCTTCATTCTATATGCATTCAAGTTTCATCAGCTGACTCTTTGATATGGTAAGTATTCCAAGCCCATAATCTGTTATCAACTGGATCACATGTTAGAATATTGTGAACAGCATCCTTTGTTCTATGTCCATTGCTGCCATAATCTTGAGAGCATTGAGTTCTTTTTGGCATTTCATTGCAACTACCTCCAAATGATCCCTGAAGGTAAGTTTTCTATGGAAAATGATACCCAGTTACCTCAGTTTGCTTTCTCTTTCGATGTTTCTGTCATTAATTGTGAGGCTTGGAACATTAGCTTTTAGAGTTTTATTGTCCAAAGAGCACATGCATGCACGCACGTGCACACACACACCCACCCTCAGATATGTATATATATGGAAGTCTCGGTGGCAGAGCAGCTAGCTGCTCACCGGGGATCGGAGGATCGTGGGTTTGCTTCCTGGAAGAGCCAGTCTTAAAAAAATAACCTTGGCTCCCAGGTCGACCCAGCCTTGAGTGGGTAATGGGTGCGGTCCCAGGAAGTAAAGATGGCCTGTGTGATGCTGACCTTGTGCCGATTGGTCTATGAAATATAGGTCTAGCCCTATGTGCTGTATACGCCTAAACGCATGAAAGGGTCCTTTACTTACTATATATATATAAAGTGAGCATAAGCATAATTTGTTCATTTTTTTTATCAGATCTATCACTTTTCATGAAAATGAGCATGAAGATAAACAGTGGCAGCCACCAAAGTACCGAACTGTTTCACCAAAAGATAGAGAGCCAAGCAGAGGTAAGCTGAGATGTTAATTCCCCTTCTTTATTTCTTTAGTGGATTCTTGACCTGCACCACTGAAGCATGTGATTAGTTGATTTGTTTGGTGATGTGCACTCCAGCAGAAAAGTGGCTTTTCTGATTACAACAGATCACACTTGTATAGTAACCAACTTATTGTGCCCGCCATCAACGACAAACTGCATTTCTGGTGGTGATTGTTGGCTTTTGGGCCTTCAGCAACTAAAATACGCATTTAATGCGTGCGCATATTTCTGGATTGTTCCGGGACCAGTTTGTTCACAAGTTTTTCAGTTGCACTGGCAGGAACGGAGCAAAAAATGGGGAAACCCAATTGCTGTGACGCTGAAACCTCGACCAAGACTGAGACCAAGATGATCACAGTAGGTTCTGAGATTGAATCATCTTGATAAAATATGTCTATATCTATCTGTGGATTTGTAACACAGTGTGTGGTTGGCTGACCGAATTAGCATTACCTTTTTGATCAGATATGTCAGTTTCTAGTAACCAGATGTGAAGGGTTTCATGTTTTTGCATGTGAGGCCCATCTCTGTAGCCAAATTTTGGTTTCAGGTCTTTCTTGGCCTGCCTATCTACTCTTTCCTTTAATGTGCCCAGTAGATGGTTTTGGAGAGACCTGTAGATGTTATTATGTGTTTACTCTGTTCCAGTCTGCATCTTTTCACTTTTGTTAAATAGAATTCATAGTTGCTGATTTGGTGAGAAAATGGATACCATGTGTTCTACTGGTAGAGAAAGTTTTTTTTTTTAAAAAGTAAAGGACCCTTTTCCATGCTTTCAGGTGATTTGGGCATATAGGGCTAGACCTATATTTTATAGACCAGTCATGGTTGAGTTGACAACATAAGAGTTGACTAATTAGGGGTTTTCTTTGAAGATGTGCATCTGCCTGAGAGGCAGAGAACCAACAGTCTGCATACAGATTAGTCAGATCTGTAAAATGGATGTGCATTTAAGTACTGGAACAAGACACAAGTCCATAAGTGGATGAACAACTAGAACATTCCCTTGAGTTTACAGCCGGTGAAAGTAAAGAAGAAGAAGAAGAAGAATCTTTTAAGACATCTTCATTACTTTATATATGTCCAGGGTCTTGTCTTGTCTTGTCCACAATTGCCTCACAGCGTAGTGGGGAGTCGCAGTTTTCTATCCTGGGCCAGGTGTGTTGCACGTGTTGTTGTTAGTCCATGTTGCCTCAGGATCTCTGATATATTGTCTATCCATCGTACTCTCGGTCTGCCTCTTGCTCTAGGGCAGTAGTGCTGTTCGTTGTATGCTCGTAGAGGCAGTTGGTCGGTTTGCATTCGCATCAAGTGGCCAAACCACTCTATTTGTTGCTTCTTTATGTATTGCAGGCATGGTGTGGTTCCTGCAATTGATCTAATGTTCTCGTTTCGAACTCTGTCTCTCCTTGTGACATTGGCAGCCTTACGTAAGCATCTCATTTCGCACGTCGTGATCTTTTTCTCCTGTGCTCTTGTTAGGGACCAGGTTTGGCATTGGTAGCAGAGGGTTGGTATAAACATGCAATTTATCAGTTGTCGTTTTAATGCCATAGTGATGCTTGGGTGTTTTAGCAGTGGGGAGAGTTGGTAAGTTACTGCGTTCGCCTTTTGAAATCTTGCCTCAAGTTCCCTATCAATTCTTCCATCATCTGTGAAGATGCTCCCCAAGTATTTAAATTGCTGCACTTGTTTGAGTTGTTCGTTGTTAACTTGAATAGTTAGTATATTAGGTGTTCTACTTATTTTCAGAATTTCTGTTTTGGTGATGCTGATCTTCATGTTATATTCGTTGCAGACTGTGTGTAGCGCATTTACGTGGATTTGAAGTTCTTTTTCATTTTCATGTATTATGCTTTGGTCGTCTGCGAAAAGTATTTCGTTCAGTTGGGGATGTACTTCTTCAGGATCGGCATGTATGTTTTCATTATAATGATCTCTTTCAACTAACTCTGTCTCACTGCTTGGTGTAGTTAACAGTTCGCTTATCATTACATGGTTTGCAGCTGTTATTCTGTCCATGTATATATTGAATAGTAGTGGTGAAAGTACATATGTCCAGGGTATTCTCTATAAAATCACATCTCCTCTGCTGCCACATAATTTTTCACTCATTGGCCAACAGTGGATGATTCACTTCTGTATATCAGGATATAATTTATATAGCTCTTGAGAAGTCTCTTTCTCACCTCAGTTGATAAAGAAGGATTGCATAGAATTTTCTTTATTTTGTGAAATGCTGCCTATACACTTGTATAGCAGTATGAAAATTGCATCAACTATTCTTAGGTTTTAATGTATCATACAGATCGTATATGTTGAGTTGAGTCAAGAACTGACATCACAGCATTCAGGACATTCCCATGCATGCTCCATCCTCATCTTCAGAAGACAGTGTAGAGTTCCAATACTGATGGTACCGGTCACAATCTGGTTATTTGTCTGTCTTGCTTTCCTCTGAGTATAGTGAGCCGGCCAGACCCTCTCACAAATATATATGTGTGTGTGTGTATGTGTGTGTGTTTAAAATGGGTGTTTATATTAATATACCATATTTATAGGCCTCACACTTGCATAGGCTGCTTCCTGTTTCTGAAATTATAATTTATGAAAACAATATTTTTCTTAGAATCTTAGTGAGGGGCCAAAAATGAAACAGTAGTACCTGTAAGCAGTTTAAGATAAGTATTCCTCAGAGTGAAATTAAAGCCAGTAATTGTTGGGCAAGGCACTTATAGCACGAAGTGACCTCATGATTCGGTGGCAAACAACAGTAGTGCAGTGACATCCCAAAACTTACCAGGAAAAACTGTTTGCATTTTTAAAGACATGAAGTTACAGAAGACACTACAGCATGGGTGCAAATGGAAATACATTTGAAACTTCCACATGCATTTCCACAGATCTCAGTCTTTGTGGTTCTGGACCAATTCCACTGATAATATTCCTCCATGCCACTGTCTTAAGCCATCCATCATCATTTCTCTTGGTCTGCCTCTGTATCAGATAGATACAGTTTCAAATTTTCTTTACTGCTGGTTAGTTCCATATTTTACAAAGTGGTTTTGTTCTTTAGGATCGCGTGGAGTTTCACCCATTGACTCTAGCCTTGACCGAATTGGGGAAAGTGCTGAAGAAAAGTTGGCCAAACAGATTCTGAGAGGGCAGCGTGAAGGAACTGATGTCTTGTCAGGGTGAGTGTTGAAGTGTACAGGGAATTAACTTTTTCTTTACCAAGCAACAAACCATACATTCACTGGTAAGCCCAGAGAGAGTATACATTTTTTTTTGATTTTCTTCTAATGCAGACATTTGTTACAGTAACCCAATCTATCTAAACTGTTATTTCAACTTATTATGTCCTAGAGTGTCATATTTAAACTCTTTTATACTCGAAGATTTGTAAAATGTATAAATCAAAAATAAGATGACTGCAGTTTAAAAAAAATTCAAAAACAAAAAGATTTAAAATAACATGAATATATGTCATCTCAGCAAGACTAATCACAATAGACAAACAAAGGACTTTGTGGATGTACAAAATATTTGTAATTATATCTATTTGACAATATTAATGATGTTTCAGATATATTATCTATAGATATTCTTGCATTTTCAAAGTAAAGAAAGGAAACACTAAAAAACAGTCCAATTTTTATGTTTGTGTTAACATTATTTATAAGTACATGTGTGTTTGTGTACATATGCACATACACAACTATGTAGGTACACGCACAAACATGTACACATTCACACAATGTTGCTTGAAAGGTAAACTTCTAGGTATTTCCTGGTACTGAAAGAGTTATCGTCCATGCACTCAGAACGGATAAAACCAGGCTTCCCCATCAAGCCCTCAGTAGGACACTGGCAGGGAAATGAAAATTGGGAAGACCAAGAGAGGCCCTGCATAGAACCATCATCAGGGAAGGCTCAAACATGGACCTAATGAACATCCAAGACCTAAATCAGGTAGCAATGAACCGCCAGACATGGAGAGCTATGACCTCTGCCCTGAGTGCCATCCTAGGCTCAAGAGGAAAGACTAACTTACTAACTGGAAGAGTTATGATAAGATGACATTTAATTGATTAATGCAAGTTAAGAAGATCGACTTCTTTGCACCTGGTTTGATCCCGTGTGGTTTGGCGTCTGTCCACAGAATGCCCAGTCACCTGCTGAGAGTATCGCACGAAGCACAAACTCCTTGTGTGGTGCCCAGAGATATGCATACAAATTGTACTCATGAACCCAGTGACACAGCCATTAATTTAAACCATGACCTTCAGAGTGCGAGCAAACAGCTTGACCACTTTACCATGGAGACGCCCCAAAATTGATTAATGAAAAGAAACAACAAGGCATCCAAAGTTATCTTTGCGTTTACTGACTGTAAACTCCAGCGGAGTGTTCTGGGTCTTTGTCCATCTAAGGACTTTAATCTTATTCCAGAACATGAGTGTTGCATGCACGTCTGTTTCCCACGTCTAGCTCATTTGTACACATGGTTCCTTGCCTCTTAGGCAGATGTACTCTGACTTTGAAGGATGTCCCCAATTAGTCAACTCCTACGACATGCTTGATGGGGAGGCCATCAGACTGTTCTTGTTTCCCTTCAATGGAGCCCTGCAACCAACATAGGGTCACCTAAGTTTTGTCAACAGAGGATTAAATTAGAAAAAATCTTTAAAAAAAGGGTAATAAAAAATGCTTAAAAATTAGAGTAACAATTCTTTTTAAGTACTTGAAATACTTGATGAGCTTAACAAGAGAAACAACTACGTTGGCATATAATGAATGGGATTGTTAATAAAACATTCTACTTAGCAGTTTTAGTGACTGAATCAGTTTTTGTGACTGAATATCACTTGTCTCTTTAGGGTTTATGAAACATGTAGGTTGAAAAGAAAAATTGGATAAATGGACTAACACACAGACGAGGAGTTGGACATTTAAAGACACGTTGATAGATATTTTTAGACCCCCCCCCCCTTTTTTCTCTCCCCCCCCCCCCCCCCCCCACCATTTTTAAAAAACTAAACTATTGTTTTGCTATTGTTGGCACCATTCAAAATTTCTAAAGAAAAGTGTTCCGTTGTGATGAAGGCAGTAGGCAAGCATGGAAATCAAAGTCCATGACGATAACATTTAGTTAACTCCAAAGGAAAGGTAACACCAATATGATTAGAACAAAGTATACTCCAGAAACTGCTGGATCAGAAAAGCAGTGCTCTGTCTTCCGACAGTCAGAGCTTCTTTCCTAGCATAGCTGTCAACTAAGATTAAGGTCGTGGTCTACCCTGCTAAACATTGAGTTTTCAGGTAGCATTTCCTTGTTCTATGACAAGGCTGGTATATTCCCCAATGTACTGCTCAGCCTGAAGCTGTTGGCACAATGGAGATGTCAGGTTTGTTATACTGCCCAACTTTCTGTGTTAACCGAGTACATGTGTAACTGACTAATGTTATATAGTAGCTCAGGAATGATCCCCAGGGTTCTCCATAAAAACTGCACTCGTGAACTCAATAACACATCCGTGAAATGAACCCACAATCTTCACAGGGCTAGTCAAATGACTTGACAAGCTTGCTGTGAAGGCTCAGCCTTTTCTTTCAAGAACTATGCCTTCTATTTTACTATTCTTTCTAAACCAGTGATATTGCAATATTATTTTAGTTTTTGAGACATTATGCTGTTTTTGAGCTTGTTTTTTCTTCATTAATTAAATCTTGTAAAATGTCAGTATTCTGAGAATATTTTTAGAAGATTTAAATTAAAAATTCATCCTTTTCTTCTTGAGAAATGGTCTGTAACTCACATCTTGCCAAGTTTTGCCACAGGCAAGATGTATGTTCTCAAAAGTTCTGCTTGTAGTTGTTTGCTGGTATTATGCCATGATCTCCAGGTGTTGCTCCTGAGGCTGTTTACATTCATTTTTTTTTTTCTGATACAGTATGGAAGAGGATTTTCTATGGATGCGAAAGTTATGTGGACAATTTTAGAAATCTTTAGACTTATTTAAGATTCAGTTAATATATACTTTTGTTTGGAAAAACAAACCAAAAAAAAGAGGTATGTGAAAGTGTGTAATCAGAGCTTTTTATCCTCTCGAAAAAAAAGTTCCAATGCTCAAAGTGTCTAAGAAAAGGTGCACGTACTCATCATAAAGTATCTATTACAATAGCGCTGAAAAACAAGTCACCATAAAGTGTCTGCTACAGTAACGCTGAAAAACAAACAGCACCTAACAAGGGCATGCCAGTACTGACTGACTGACTGACTTTCTACCCCACCAGGACATCACACAAGCGATAAACACCCGATGACACAAAGTGCCACCATATGGATGAGGATCGCCGTGGAGAGGTCCCAGAAACCGCGTTCAGACATTTGGCCATATTTATGGCCTGCCTATATTGCGGCCCCTGGCAAAAGCCAGGGTGGGGCTTCAAATAACAAAAAATTTCGTCCTAAAAAGGACGAAACTGAATAATAGCTATGCCAGTACTGAATACCACCAGGATAAAAAAAGCCCTGTTTGTGATAACTATTTCATGTGCATGATTTAATTTTAACTGATTGTTTTTTTTTTTTCTTCTTAGTAGCCAGAATGACAAGCCAAAGCCACAGGTAAGAGGTAGAGCTGGTAATAGAAGAACATCACCACATGCTGAGCAGCAAAGAAAATCACCATCTTCTCAGGAGGCAACAGGCAGTGCGAAGCGAACCACTCCTACTCTTGATATTTTTGGTCAGAGTAGATCTGCAGCAGCTCAAGAGCTAGAAGAATACATGGAAAGTAATAATGACAAAGAAACAAAAGGAAGAAAAACACCTACTAGCAGGTCACACACCCCAGAAATGAAACCGGGAACTAGATCCATACTTAAAACACCAGACAAATCTGGAGTCAAGTTTGATTTAGAGGAGAAAAAGTCCAAAGTAAGCAGAAAAAGCCCAAGAGATTCACCAGAAATAAAAACACCCTGGGACAAGAAGTCTTCAGAGAAAGGCAAGCCATCTACTGCAGAAGAGCCATCATTATTAGATTTTCTGATGGAAGATGACATAACAGCAAAGCCAAAACCTCAAGCAAGGGGAAGGCGTTCTAAGGGAATGGGGCATACAGATTTTCTCGATGATATATTTGGAAATACCCAGAAGAGGATTTCTAATGAAGAACGGACATCACCAGGAACAGTTGGCAGAAAATCACCAGCTCCAACTGGCAGAAAAACGCCAGAATATATAAGAAAATCTCCTGTCATCAGTGATAAGCAAGAAAATATATTTAAGACAATAGCTAAGATCGAACAGACAGAAGATACAAGTTCCATATGTGAAGAAATTCCTCCTGATCCTTACAGAAAACTGGCTAACCAAGAGAATAGGTAAGTTTTATATCTCTTAGCTAAGTCATTGATTGATAGGTGTGAAAGATAATGAACAGTTTTCAATGAAAATGAAAATAAGAGAATATTGGAATACTTATGATGGAAGGATAGCTTCTTGCTCTATCCTATATCCTTCAATGAAGCATAGGTGTTCGACGCTGGCATTCCAGCCTCAGGGCGTCTCCATGGTGGTGGTCTAGCTATTTGCCTCATGCTCTGATAGTCACGGGTTCATTTCACGGCATTTACTTCATGAGTGCATTTTTAGAGACATCCCTGGGGATCACTGCCGGAGCTACACATTCTGCAGAGACCGAGTCATATGGGATAAAAATACGGTGAAATGAAGTCAATCCTCCTGACTGTAACCTTTTTTTTCAAGCCCTCCTATCTTGATGTGTCTTCTACAACTCTCTACATATTCTTCCTACATTATTAATATATGTGATCTTCTACTCTCTTCTTCATTTTCTGTTTCAAGTTTCCCTGATTTCTTTGTCCCATAAGTTATATGCATATCCTTTACAGGACATTGCAAAACCAACCTCAGCATTTTTTGGCTGTTGTGGTTTTTCTATGCAAATTTACATCCAGTAGTTTGCCATTGCTTTCTGGATGGTCGGCTTCTCGATACCACTGTCAAAACCAACACAAGGCACAAGGCCGGCAGCTGGGATCGAACCCAGCACCCCGGCATTACGAAAAGCATTTGCAACACCTAAGCCATAGGAAGTAAAGTAAAATAATAAAGGATCCTTTCCCTGCCATGAGAAGCAGCTGGCTGATTGGTTAGAATGCTGTGCTCTTATGTAAGAGACCCGGGTTCGAATCCTCAGTAAGGCTGGGGATTTGTTTCTGTCGGGAGCAAAATAAAATCCTCACCTGTACAGTCATGGCGACAGCACTAGCTATGCAGCCCTAAATCCTCAGGCTCAAAGACCCCCCCCCCTCCCCCCCCCCCCCCCCCCCCCCCCCCGCCTACACCACAAAAGTGTTATGTAAAAACATTAATTGGCAGTTTCTCTATCATTGGTAGTGAACTAGACACTCTCATCATAGCCACAGGTCTTGAATTGGAAGGTACATAGGGCAGATTTTGGAAAAAATTGAACATGTGGTTATCGTCATCATCAAGTGCCTTATCAATCCCAGACAATCATGCCTCTCTACAGTCTGCAGTTGTCAGCTCTTGCATCAGTTCATTTGCTGACACCCCTCCATATTATGACAAAAGGCTGTCAAGATTCTTCCCTGATCTTCCTCTGTCTATTTTTCAATAAATTTTTTCCAGTACACATGTTCCAGTTTCCTTCTTCTCATAACATGGCCAAATAACGATGACTCTCTCTTTTTTATGTTTTTGATAATTTGCCTTTGAGTCCCTCACCTTTTTCAAAAAATCGGGTTTGCTCTTTTTGGCTGTCCAAGGAATTCTAAGGATTTTTCTATAAAATAACATCATTATAAATTGCAGTTTTAGTCTGTCCTATTATGTTCTTTATCTCTTTGGTACATCTTCCATTGGATATTATCCATGTGCCCAGATACATAACACCTTTGAATTTCTCTTTATATATTCAGGCACTGTTCTTTTCTTTGATATTACGACTACTTCTATCTTCCTGGAGGAGGTCTTTTGCAAGATGTCACTCTCATCACAGTCTGCCTGAAAGAAATTCAGTCTCCCGCCAGCTCTCCCGCCTCATGCACTTTCATATTCAAGGAGTCACTTTTATCCTTCCCATCTTCATGTTGGTTGGCCCATGTTCTGCTCCCCACCCCTTCCTGGTACCATCCATGCCGTAGGCTATTATTTTTTCCAGTCCGCCATGGCGCTTAATATGACCAAACTATTTCACCTTCTGAGAGAAGATGCTGTTTATTATACAATCTTCCTTAAGTTCAGATCTTTTAAAATGTCAGTATATCTTCTTTTCTTTGTCCATGGTATTCTGAGAATCTTTTTGTAGCATTTCAGCTCAAAAGTCAGTATTTTCTTCCTTAAGGACTGGGAGATGGTCCATGAATCAAATCCGTATGTTGCTAAAGCTCTCAAAATGTTAACGTTAATTACCTTTCTGATGCTACTTAACCATAGACTTTTAATGCTGTCTTAATTTTTGTATTGCTATGGCCATCCCCCTTTTGACTTCTGATGAATAGTCTCCATTGCTATTTATTATGGAGCCTAGATATTCAAAGCTCGTAACATTTTTAATTTCTTCATATTTGTTGGTATTTTTAGGTAACAACCATTTTTGTCTGTAAAAATTATTTTTGTTTTCTTTAAATTAAAAAAAGTTTTGATCTTCACCGTTTTTCTAGACAGACATGATCAAATGTTCCCTTTACATTGTTCTAAAGGAGGACTGTGTCATCTGCATAGTTCTGGAATAGGGTTGCTACCAGTTATGAGTGGTTCATAACTGTCACAAGTCTGGTCATTTTTGACATTTCTTATTATGTTTTTTGCATACATTTTTAATAGCTATAGTGAGAGAATGCACCCTTACCCTCGCTCCCTTTTGCACCTAAAACAAATCAAATGTTTCTCCAGCTGCTCTGATGGCTGCTTGTTGTTCATGATATAAACTTTCAATTAAATGCACCAAATGCACTGGAAAACAAACTTTTCTTAATACTCCACAATTTCTGACACAATCAGAGCCCTTTGCTATAATCAAAAAAAAATACATGGAGATCTACTCATTCTATCATTTTTTTTTACATCCACCGTATCTATTTATTCCTGTAGCTCTTTCTGGCTTGTCACTATCAAAACAGTGTCATCAGCATAATTTAGACCAGGTCAAGCAAGCCTAAACCTGGAAATTCATGGGAAGTAAAGGTGGCCCGTATGATGTTGACCACATCACCCATCAAGTGCCAGTCCGTCTATACAAATTAAATCTTTACTTTTACTTACTTTACTTATTGTACTGTAGTGACTAATATTCAAACAACAATTTTCAGCTTTAAAATTAGTTTTTGCTACATTGCATATTATTGAATTATATTTATAGTTTTAATGCTTGATATTTAATTTTCTTGTTACTCATCATCATCATCATAAGTTCTCTTTATGCCTAGTGACACATGAGTCTTTAGAGAGGACTTACCATAACGTGGCTAAGCTATTTCCATCTTCTCTTGGTTATTATACCTTCTAGAGTTTCCTATTTCTAAGTTTCCTTATTATATTTCTTTGCTATATTTCTTCTTTTGATTTATTGCTCAGCATTTCTTGCTATAATACTGTTTGACTACATTTGTTAAGTACCGAAAGCCCAATAAAATCAAGCAGGCTATTGAGTAATGTCCATGTTTATTTTATCTATTCATAAAATGTTACTAGCTTCCTTTTTTTTACTCTGTAATTTTGAGGCATCTGAGGCTTGTCTTCTGTAAATGCAGTTTGATAATTCCAAATTACCAAGTTCAGCTGCAGGTAGTTTAGCAGCTGACCACCATATGTCAGTTTTGACACTAGTGTGTTGGCATCTGTGGCTTAGACATTGCAAACGTGCTTCAGAAATTTGGATTTGATCCCAGCTGCAAGCTATTTGGAAGCAGACTTCCTTGTGTTGGTTTCAATAATGGTATCATGAGCCAACCATTCAGAGGCAGTAGCAAATTACTAAATGTAAAATTGCGTAATGAAATCAAAAACTGGGTTGATTCTGCAATGTACTGTAAAAGATACACAATTAATTTAAGGAGCAAGTGCAGAGTTATAGGTCTGATGATATCAGAAACAACCTGATTGTTTGTCCACTTATCCTTCCCCCGAGTGTTGAGTGTCAGCCAGATCCCTAGTCACTCCTCATTGACCATGGTGATCTGTTTTGGCCTCTGCACTGTTTACTTGCTTCTAGTGGGCTCTTAATAACTTCTAGTCTGTCAGTCAATTTACCACCAAGTGTGCAGAAGCAGCCAATCTGGCAGCCTGTTCATTTACCATTGTGTACTATAAACAACTAGACAGTGTTGATTTACCAGCACACTGACATACTGTGGAGGAACATCCAAAGGATAAAAACTACCCACAAACTCTGAAGTGATACTTGCCACTCTGCATGGAGCATACCTGTCTCCACCTTTCTCAACATGCTCCGTGAGACATTTTTAGTCATGAGAGGTGTGTGCAGCTTGTTTTTTTCATGAAAGCCACTTGAATAGTCTTTTATCTTGCTGTCCTTTTTAGGATGCAATTTTTCGTTATTTGAAGCCCTACTCTGGCACATGCCAGGGGCCGCAATATAGCCTGGCCATAAATATGGCCTAATGGCTGGACGCGGTTTCTGGGACCTCTCCATGGTGATCCTCATCCACATGGTGGCACATTGTGTCATCTGGTGTTTATCGCTTGTGTGATGCCCTGGTGGGGTAGAAAGTCAGTCAGTCAGACTGCCGGCAGAGCTAGACGATACGCATCTAGATTTACTTTTAATGTAAAACTTCTTAAGACATCTTGGAAGTCAAACTTTTTTCTGTATATTATTTATAATCTCTTTAGATCAAATAATCAAACCACTGAGAGAGCTCAAGCAGATGATGCCATTGAAACAGTTGCTATCACACAAACATTGAAGCACATTGCAATTGCAAGGAAAATAAGGTTTGTGAATCTCTTAATAATTTAAAAAAAGGAATTAAAAAATGTTTGCTTTGTATATAGAAATAATTATTCTTGATGTGGATTTGAACGCAAGACCTTTATACTGGCAGGCGAGTGTATATGTGCATGTAGTATAGAAGATGATGTATGGTCCTCCAATGAATTTAACTCTATGTATAACTTCATCTTCATTCTCTGCATGTAATTAACTAATTCTTTTTATCTGACATAAAAACAAGAGGATGCTTAAGTAGATTATAGACTGATGACAACAAAGACATTATAAATCCACACAAGTGACAGTAGGTGGTGCTACCGATCAAACAATGAACCACAAACTGTTCCTTCTCATGACACATAATCTTTATGTTTATTCAACTGATCAACATCATGGCACATGGTTGTAACCCATAAGTGCTCCGTTCTACTTTAAACTCAAGCCTGAGTCTGAGGAATCTATCTCAGCACAGTGCACGAACTCCGTTGCACTGGCAAGGATCCTGAAATACTTTGGGCAGATTTTTAACTCCAAATTTTGCCCAAGCAGCACCATTAGGCTAATCTTTTTCGATTTCCAACAATACACACGGGTGTCCTGTCTTTTTACCCAGAGACCAGTGGAAATTCCTACAATTCCACATGAAAAAATCCAAGCCTTCAACTGGGTTTGAACCCGGGACCTTCAGCACTCAAGGTAGACACCATAACTCGAGACCACTCAGCCCCATGATACACATAATGGCACAAGTGAAAGCTGATAAGGATGAATTTATTATGTGTTAACTTCAATTGGTTATGAAAAGATATCAAACAAATGAAAAGCAGAACCAGAAAACTTAACATTATCACAAACACAAACATCAAGAGAGCTTTCATTAGAGAGCTAGAGAGCACAATACATGAATATACAATACCACAAACAGGAAAACACAGTAGGACTTAACTGAAGTGTCACTGAAAGGAATCACATATCTGTCTAGCCAGCTGAATCTCTAACATGTGTATGACCACCAGAATTAATTACTAGCCAGAAAAAAAGGCTGTGAATGGCAAAGAACCATAATTCACAAATATTAAATAAAAATGAGTTCGATGTTAAGTACCCTGGACTTAACTATAACAGGATACTACAGCAACACAGTAGTTTGTATGCTGGTTGCCAGCTGACATAAAAGCTTGGTTTGAGCCTACATCGTGGTAGGCTTGTATATTGACTTGAGCCTCCAGGTGAACCCAACCTACAAATGGTTACCCAAAAATGTCCTGGGAAGTAAAAGGCAGGCTGTGTGATGTTGACTCATCTCCTGTCTATGATGTGCTTATCTTTACGTCCTTTTTAGGACACAATTTTTCTTTATTTGAAGCCCTACTCTGGCTCTTGCCAGGGGCCGCAATATAGCCTGGCCATAAATATGGCCTAGGGGCTTACGCGGTTTCTGGGACCTCTCCATGGTGATCCTCATCCACATGGTGGCACATTGTGTCATCGGGTGTTTATCGCTTGTGTGATTACCTGGTGGGGATAGAAAGTTAGTCAGTCAGTCACATCTTCTGTCTACTATTTGCCGTCCTTTATAGGTTGAAATTTTTCGTTACTTGAAGCCCCACCCTGGCTCTTGCCAGGAGCTGCAATATAGCCAGGCCATAAATATGGCCAATTGGCTGAACGCGGTTTCTGGGACCTCTCCACGGTAATCCTCATCCACATGGTGACACATTGTGTCATCGGATGTTTATCACTTGTGTGATGTCCTGGTGGGGTAGAAATCTACTACTACAACTACATCTCCTGTGACTTTCGTCCCCACATGTGATACAATTTTTTATTTGAAGCCCCATCATGGCTTCTGACGGGGGCCCTGAATATAGCTGGGGCATAGATATGGCCTAACGGCCTAAAGGGGTTTCTGGGACCTCTCCACGGGTGATCCTCATCCGCATGGTGGCACTTTGTGTCACCGGGTGTTTATCGCTTGTGTGATGTCCTGGTGGGGTATAAGTACCTACCTGTATTTTTCCTTGAATATTGTAAATGTGTCCTTATATGGAACTCACATTTTTGGTGTTTTAAAGCACCACTACGGCTGTTGCCGGGGACCCTAATATAACCCAACCTGTGGGTTGAACAGGGTTTCTGGGACCTGTCCCTGGGTGATCCTTATCCGATTGGTGGCACTTAGTGTTGAAAAAAAGTAAAGGGCCCTTTTCCATGCCTTTAGGCATATAGGGCGGGCTAGACCTATATTTTTATAGACCAGTCGGCACAAGATAGATGATGTGGTCAGCATCACGCCAGCCGCCTCTACTTCCCGGGACTGCACCCGGTACCAACTCAAGGCTGGGTTCAATCTAGGAGCCAAGGTCATTGAAAAAAAACAAAAAAAAACTGGCTTTGCCAGGGAGCGAACCCACGACAAAAAAACCAAAAGATCCCTTTACACGCCTTTAGGCGCATTGGTTATATAGGAAGAGCGCCCATATTTCTACAGACTATCAGCACTCGGTGGGTAATGTGGTCAGCATTACGCTGGCCGCTTTTACTTTCCCAGGACAGCCCATCGTAGTACCCATTTTAGGCTGGGTCGACCTGCGATGCCCCATACCATGATGAAAATCCACGCAGCCAGCAGTGGGTTTCGAGGGCGGTACATTGGTATTACGAGTCGGACTCGAAACGCCTAACCCATGGACTCCGCACTGCAATTGGTGTTACTGGGTGTTTATCGCTTGGTGTGATGTACTAGTGGGGTTAAACGACAATCATTTACATCTCCTTCACCTTCTCATTCCAATTTGGGACAAACTGTTTGTTATTTTAAAGCCCTACCCCGGATGTCATTGGGGGCCCTAAATATACCTACCTACAGGTTGAAGGAGGTTTCCGGGACTTGCTCCTGGGTGATTCTCATCTGAATGGTGGCACTTTGTTTCACCGGGTGTTAATCGCTTGTCATGCTGTCATGGTGGGGTTAAACGTCGTCAGTCATCTCCTGTTATAGTTTGCCCCAGTATGGGACACAAATTTTTGTTGTTTTAAGAACCCCACCTAGGATCTTTTTGTGGGCCTTGAATATAACCTAATGGTTGAACAGGGTTTCTGGCACTTGTGCATGGGTGATTCTCATTCAAATGGTGGAACTTTGTGTCACCAGGTGTTTATCACTCATTGTGAGGTCCTGGTGGGGTTGAAGATCACTCACTCATATAACCTGTCAAGTGCCAGTTGGTCTATAAATATGGTCTAATATCACCTGATGCACCAGTGACATAAAAAAAAAGGGTGTGAATGATTGGCATCTTAGAATGTTAAGAAAAGATGAATGTTTTAGGCTTTCCTTCATAGCCATTATAGCTCTTGTGATGTCTAGATAGTATTCAGTCTCCTGCCACATCTTCTGAATCATCTCCAGTTACAGTTACAATTGCTGCCGTGATTCCCCCTTTAAGGTGCTGGAAGCTCCTTATCTTCTCAGCCCTGTTTAAAGTCTCACAGTCACACAAAACTTTAACTTTAAACTGTTCTGAACAATTTTGAATGTTGAATTAAGAACTGACATCACAGCACTTGGGAAACTCCCATAGGGGCTCAGTCTCCATCTTCAGCAGCAAGCGAAGAGTTGCAATTCCGATGGTACCAGTAACTGTCTGATTGTATATTCATCTCATCCTTCCCCTGAGTGTTGGCTATTCTGAACAAAAAATTTATATCCATTAAGTATATCTTTTATTTCTAAAACATATTTAAAATCCTGTCAGTTATTCTCAGTGACCCTGTACTTGACCACTAACTATATCCATTAAAACCAAAACATCTAATCTTTATAATATTGGCATGTCAATACAGAAGTTATCATTGTATACAATTTAGGAAAACAGTGATCAAGCACAGTTACATAGAGATGACAAGGCAAAATGTGCACATATAGTTAGTGAAATTAGTGTCGCTGAACCAATCAGGTGCCATCTCCAGAGTTGAGGTTGACTTCAATGAATTTCGAACATTCTTTGTTTCTTATCTTGGCTGCTGACGTTTAGATAAGCTGCGTGCCCATCTCTTGATGTTATCCTTCCATTTGTATCACATATTGCTTGCCAGAACTTAATTTCATTTAGTTATGTTGAGTTTTGTTGTTTTTCTTTTTGGTTTATTTAATTAAGGTCAAGAACAGTAAGTGCCAAAGTTCAGCACAGACCCAAGCCTCGCTATGGTGACCAGTTGAACAAGTCTACAAATTCTTTACAAGAGCATCATTTTAACAGCACAGGAGACATCAGGGAAGCCATTTATGAAGAGTGGTATAAGATACATTTAAATTTAGCCCGAGAAAAGAAAAAAGAAGAAGAAAAGAAGGCTAAAGAGGAAGAGGAAAAGAAAAAGAAGGTAACTATTGTAGAGTCAATTTTAAAAATATTGATTAAACAAGATTACTAACAGACCAATTTACAGTAAGGATTGTTAACACCTGAATGTCAGAACAAGTCTTGCGTGCGAAGCCATTATTTTTAAATACTTACGAAGAGCATGAGTTCAAATCTGCACCGAGGCAGATAAAAAAAAAAAAAACCTGGTTGCCCAGAGTGATTCAGCATAAAACTGGAACCAGGAAATGCCCTGGGAAGTTAAGATGGCTGTTGTGATATTGACCACATCACTCATTAAGTGCCACTAGGTCAATACAAATATGGAAAAATGGCTCCCACAACATCTAGCTTGTCATACATCAGTTCACCACCAAGTGGCGCAGAACTGGCCAGTGTATCTGCCAGCTCATTTCCCACAACACTGGCATCACCTTGAGAAAATGTTTAGAGGGCGCTAACAACAACCTGGTTACCCAGACTGATCCAGCATAAAACTGGAACCAAGAAATGCCCTGGGAAGTAAAGATAGCTTTTGTGATACTGACCACATCACCCATTGAGTGCCAGTTGGTCAATACAAACATGGATCAAGCACCATATGCCAACTGTTCCAAAAGCACGACAAGTTTCCGTTAGGTTTACTTTTCTAAACTATTGCATTTGGAAGGCATTTTTGTTGTTGCTGGTAACTTCCTAATTATATATATCTTTTTAAAGGTATAACTCCAACATTTAATATCATCTGAGGGTACTACTCATGATTCTGCCGGCTCGGCAAGAATTCCTACCCTTCCCATTCATGCAGTGGTGGGTTGTATGGTCTAACCTATGTTGTGGGAGTGTTATGAGATGGCTTCGTTTTGTGTTTACTTGCCGTATATTATGTTTGTGGGAGGTTGTGTTGTCTGGAGTCTCTTTGAGGCAGCGCAGATGCCTGTGTACAAATAAGACGTAGTGTAGAGGGAAGTGCTGAAGGTGCGACTGTTCGCGAGTAACGAAACTGGGAGTTTTGTCTTTCTGTGTTCCCTGGTGGTGGCTCCCCCCCCCCCATAAAAAAAGAAGCCACCGACAAGGAATGCACAAATACATTGCAATTTTGATACTCACAAACCGTCGAGCAAGTAGCTCATAGTAGAAATAATCAAGCAGGTGAGAGGTGACAAAACGAGAAATTAGACATTGGTTAAACTGTGGAAAATAAGGAATACCTGACACCCTCACAACATAGGACAGGTCGTGTGACCCGCAGTGGCATGAATGAGAGGGGAAGGAACTCTCCCTGTGCAGGCAGAGTTGTTAATAGAACCCATCTGAGCATCGAAGAGAACTGGTTCATAAATAGCATCCTGTCCCGAAAGTTGATGTATCTTGTCCATGTTAAACGTCATGGTGGCCTGGAGAGGACAGTGATGAAATGTATAGTTTCTGGAGAAATGGCTAGAGAAGGAGAAACTTTTAGGTGTGTCATGATGAGAGCGAGCTGCTTATTGATGATATTTCCTTTTATTTTCTTTTTTTTCTACTTTTTTATTTTGCGCCCTCCCCCCCTTCCCCCCCCCACCACCCCCAAGCTGTTGTGTTGTTTTTTTACACGTCGGCTACGATTTCTGCACCGTTCTGCCCAATATATTTGATTTCACAACAGTAATTTTTGTATGAAATGCTCATTATAGGAAAATGAGTCTGTCCCTTCCCCCCACCCCAAATTTGCTCAAGAACACACACGAGGAGGTTTCCTTTCAGAAAAATTTATTATTATTTTTTATTGGCATGTCAGACACACTGGAGTTTAAAAACAAAAACTACAGTGAAGTGATAACCATGTGGACTTTGACAAAAGTTGAAAAGCTGCCACATGTGGATCAAGCCAAGATTTATAAATATCTTTCTCTCTCTCTCTCTCTCTGTCTCACACACACACATGCATGCACGCATGTACACACACACATATCCTCCCACCCACAGGATTCCATCCACCCCTCCCTCCCACCAACCAAATGCTTTTTTGGGGGTTAATTTTGTCATCCCTTGTCACACTGAATGATTGTCGCTCTTCGCAGATGAAGATGAAGTTAATTATGTTAGCTGGATGTCTCATAAACATGTCTTTACAGCAAGATATTATTTCTGTCAATCCCAGGGGGTTTGGTATCACAGGCCCAAGAGGTAGTAAAGAAAGATGTAAAATTGGTGCATCTTGCGTTCACTGGGCTTCTAGGTAGGAACTTATGAACGTATGATGCATTCCTTGGGACTCAAAGAGTTGAAGCAGCTGTTTCAGGGTAATGGTACTAACCAACTAGAAGTGTGGGATTTGTGTCTTCTCTGGGTCATAGGGTTAATGTCGGTTCAAACCCAAGACCCTTTAGATTTGAAGGCATGCAAGTATTTAACTTAGCTGAAAATAAGCTCTGTTTTAGAAGTGTGAAACTAATATATTTACTGCTTTTTTTAAAGGAAGTTGAAGATAAACGTCTTGAGGCGGAATTATCATATAAAGCATGGATGGAACAGAAGAAAAAGAAACTTCAAGAAGTGTACAAAGAGAAGGAAAAGAAGGAAAAGCTGGAAAAAGAAAGACTGGAACAAGAGAAAAAGGAACAAATAGATAAATCACGAAAGGTATAATGTAATTTAATTTATTTAAAATATTTTATCTTCTTTTTTAAATATCTTCCTTACAACATAGTGCTTTATGATTTTCACTTGGCATTTTTCTGATGCAGCCAGAAAATATATATTAAAAAAGGCATATAGATATACGCAAGATAATTTTAGCTAAGGAAGAGAAGAAACTGAAGAAATGTGACCTAGGGACACACAGTGAATGCTACAGAGCTTCTAAGAGCATTATATCAATGGTTATTTTGCATTTCGTCATCATCATGTGCCCTGCCAACTGGCGTAGGCGCTCATGCATCTCCACAAATCACGATCCCTGGTTGCCTGGAACAGCTCTCTTGATGATATCCCTCCATGCAATCGTTTCGACCCATTAGGCATCATCTCTCTTGGTCTGCCTCTACCCCTTTTTCCACTGGTCTTTTCAGTTGTCACAATGTTCTCCAGTGTCTCTCTTCTCATTATGTGGCCAGTGAAGTGTTTGTCTCATTCTTATTGTTGTATATAGAGATCTACTTTCATTAGCTTCTTTCGAACAATTGTTGTTAGTAACAATCGTCTCAGAAACCACATCTCTGTTGCTTCCAAATTCTTCTTAATTTGTTCACTGACATTCCAATATTCACTGCTATACAGCAGAACAAGTTCTATGTAACATTTTAGCACTCTCTCTCTGACATTAGTTGAGAACGATTTATTGCAAATGATATTTTTCATTTTCTGAAATGCAACTTTTGTATGAACTATTCTGCTTTTAATCTCTGTCACACATTTTCCATCTGATGATATAATTGTTCCCAGATATATGAATTTATTGAATTGGTTAAGTATTTTTTCTTTAATTGAGATATCACAACGTAGAGTTATCTTCTTCTTTGATATAACCATTACTTCTGTTTTCTTAATATTCAGTGAAAGTACTTTCTTAGAACTCTCCATCCCTACAATATCCAGCAGTTGTTGTAAATATGCATTTATTTATGTGATTTATAGATTATATGGTAGAAAAAATATGAAATTAAAAAAAGGTAAAGGATTTTAGAGGCAGAGGATGACAGATGTGAGAAATAGCTGAATGACTTTGGCAGAAAGAGGCAGTATATGATTAGTGGTCAGTCTTATCAAAGTCTTTGCATTGGTTTTGATGGTAGTATGAGCGTTGACCGTTCAGTATGACAAACTACTGACTTTAAAATTGCCAAGTAAAACCACAATCAGCCATCAAACCCACTGAGGACATTTGATTGTTGAGAAAAACAATTGCATGTAATGGATGTGCATTCTAATTTCAGGTCAAGCTATAATTGAAAATACCACCATCTCTCAACACATGGATGACTAGATGGGTGGGGCTTATTAAAATACTAGATTGTAATATGGGTCGTATAATGGGCTCACCTTGGCTTGTGGAGTTTCACTACTGGAGGGACTCTGTTTGATAAACTTGGAATGATTTTTGAACAACTTTGGCATACAGCATGCTCAGAATTAAGATGGGCTAGAGAATGCTCTCTTTACTGCCTGAACTTACCACATTAAGGACAATTTAGGACCGTGGTGGGGGAGGGGGGATGAAAGGGGGGGGGGGGGGTTGCTTGAAGAGTTAGAGCACTTGCCATGGACTGTGCAGGGTAGAATTTTATTTTTACCACAGACAGAAAAAAAAACCTTCACCTCTAAGAAGATTCCGACTCGGATCTTTCAAAGGAAATCCCATCATTCTTAACCATTCGGTCAGCCAGGACTATTTATATTTCTGCTTTCAGTCCCTGTCACATGACCAAACTTTAAAAACAAAAACCTTTAGTGTAGGTTTAGAATACAAACATTATAGTGTAGCAGTGGTTGTCAATTAAAATCCCATTTTTCTGTTGAACTTGCTTAACCAATTTGTGTGTATTCTTCAGGTGTTTGAAACTTGGAAAGGCAAGAAAGATGCTGTCATTAAAACGGAGCTACAGAAAAAGATTGAAGAGGCTAAGAAGATTGAGAGGGAAAAGAAGCAGGAATTGCTTAAAAAACAAAAGGAGCGAGAAAGTGTACACAAAATATGGTATGACTTGAAGTTTGAATTAAAAAAAAAAAGTGTGTGCTATGAAGTATGTATGTATGTAAGTTGTACCCAACCAGGACATCACACAAGGGATAAACACCCGGTTACTCAAAGGGGCACCATGTGGATGAGGATCACCCGTGGAGTGGTCCTGTAAACCCGGTTCAGCCGTTAGGCCATATTTCAGGCCCGGCTATAAATAGGGCTCCCGTCAAAAGCCAGAGTGGGGCTTCAAAATAACTAAAAATTGCATCTGACGTGGGGATGACGAGACAATAACTTGCTGGGAAATATCTTAACTAAAAACTTGTGAGCTTGTCATGCCTATGTCTGCAGGTTATGTTTTGTGTTGCTGAGATGTTTTTATAAGGTAAATATAATTTTTTGTTTTTTTATTTAAATATAGTGTAAGCTACAGCATAATTCATGCTTGTAACTTCTTTTACTTCAGCAGCATTTTGAGTCTCTGGGGTCCATTGCTGCCTGTATATTATCTCTCCATCATCTTCTTGGTGGTCAACTCCATTTCAACTCTTTTTGGTATAAAGTTTTTGTCTATCAGTTATTTTTCATTCTCAGTGTATGCCTCAATCATTGCAGTCTATTAACCCTCATGATGCTAGTAATTAGTGGGAATTTAAATAGATTTTTTTTTCAGTGTTGCTTCCCAATCTATTTGAGGCTTAGATATCTGTTTAGCGATGTAACTTCAGTTATCTTTTTTTGTGATTAGTCTTAAACATTTCATCATCATCATCTCTACACAGCATAATCGAATAATCTCCACAGATTTTTTTTTTTATGTTGCCAACATGAAGGTGTTGATGTGTGTTTTACTTTCATTAATAATAAATGAACTAAATTCTGTTTTTTCTTTTTCAATGCTACTGCAGGTTAAATAAAAAGGAAACGCAGCATGTGATACACATAAAACAGGAAAAGAAACATGAAAAGAACAAAAGAAGCTTTGAAGAGGAATCAAAGGATGAACTTAAAAAGAAGGAAAAGAGTGCTGAAAATATTTATCTTGAATGGCTAGAAAAGAAGGTAAAGTTATACAATTTTATGTGCATATAATCATACACACACCCACGCATGCACGCACACACACACACGTGCATACATTACACAACAATGACATATTTCACCACCCACACACATAACAGGGACTCAAAATATACACATTTACACTACTGACACTATATACACACACAATACACATCTATCTGTCCATCCATTCATATGTATCTATTCACCTATCTCTCTTTCTTCTCTCTCTCTCTCTCTCTCTCTCTCTCTCTCTCTCTCTCTATATATATATATATATATATATATATAAATATATATATATGTATATATATATATATATATAAATATATATATATATATATATATATATATATATATATATATATATATATATATATATATATATATAAATATATATATATGCATATGTGTGTGTGTGTGTGTATCTATGTATGTATGTATATATGAGAGTGTCTAACCAATTTGCTACCATGACTCCTGATCAATTACTGTGTTGTGGAAAAATTTGAAATGTTGCAGTAAAGCAAATCAAATACAGAATTTTAAGAGATCTGTATGAAATTACTCATTATAAAAGCACCTACAAAAACCGTACACATTTTGGGCTGTAGTTGAATCGACCATATTACCCAGTAAACATGTCAAGGAATGAGCTCAGATCATACAGTATTTTCTAAAAGGGCTGCCTGGTTCCCAATTTTATGTTCTTCCTGTTTGCTCAGTTCAAATTGAATCATAGAGGTGCAAAACTGAACTGTTCCTTTCATTAAAATAATAATAGGTGTCATCTTCGCAATAAAGTTTGGCTACAGCGTACCTACTGCTGTCTCCTTATGTCTATGTATGTGTATGTTTTTTATGTTTGTGTTTGTATGAAGATGCATGTGTGTGTGTATTACATATGTCTGTATATGAGTGTGCATGTATGAGAACACAAGAGTATGTATATGTGTGTGAGTGTGTATGATTGTGTACACATAATGTGTGTATGCATTATTCTATAATTTATATTTCTTTATTATATCCATAACATGCATTATTGATAACAGGCATTGGTACTCTAAAAAATGAGTGCTTAGAAAGGCCGAATGTCAGACGGGCCTGCGTGCCCAATTTGTAACCCTTTGAAAATAAAGTTTCTTTGTTCGTTCTTTGGGAATATTATGTGATGAGGCCACAGTCTCTTTTACAGTGCAGCTTTCATAAAACTGTCTAAAAATTACAAATTCAGTAAATAATCTTTGTGGAAGTCAAAGGCTAGAACTTGAGGATCATGAAATTGCTAAATGTATTTACTAACCTCTAAGCCTTTTTTTGTTTCATAGTTAATCAATTTATGTTTCACTCTTTTAATTTTTCATTAGGAAAATCAAGCCAAACTTGACAAAGTAAAGGCTAGACGAAAATTAGAGGATGAGGAAGAAAAACCAGCCTGGTCACCAGCTAGTCGAATTATTCCATTTGGTAGATGATCTGTGTAACTTTTAAAGGATGCGGAGACCCCACAGTTTGTGGTACAGTCTTCAGCTAGTTAATATATGCAATTACTAGCAATGTTAATAATGATTCAGACATGTGAAATTACTTTCAATGTTTAGTTATAAAAGCCTTAAAGCCTTTTTTGTTGGTAATGCATGCTTACACTTTGGTAGAGATTATGCTTCCAGTGAGTTCCAAAGTAAACTGTCTTCTACTGCTGTATGTGTCTTTTCCCACCCATTGTATCTTTTACTGCTCTATGTGTCATAAAACTTAGATTCTTGCTTTTTGTGTTATTAACTGCTTTGTGTGTCTTTCACTGCTCTGGTGTCTTTTACTGCTTTGAATGTCTTTTACTGCTCTGTCATTTACTTCTCTGCATGTCTCTTACAGCTCTACATGTGTCTTTTACTGCTTTATGTGTCTTTTACTGCTCTATGTGTCATTTACTTCTCTGCATGTCTCTTACAGCTCTACGTGTGTCTTTTACTGCTCTATGTGTCTTTTACTGCTCTATGTGTCTTTTACTGCTCTATGTGTCATTTACTGCTCTATGTGTCATTTACTTCTCTGCATGTCTCTTACAGCTCTACATGTGTCTTTTACTGCTTTACGTGTCTTTTACTGTTCTATGTGTCATTTACTTCTCTGCATGTCTCTTACAGCTCTACATGTGTCTTTTACTGCTTTACGTGTCTTTTACTGTTCTATGTGTCATTTACTGCTCTATGTGTCTTTTCCTGCTCTGTCTTTTACTGCTCTCTGTATCATTTACTGCTGTATGTGTCATAAACTTTGTAATGTTGCTGTATATGTCTTTTACTGCTCTATGCATCTTTTACTGCTTTATATGTTTTTTACAGCTGTATGTGTCACAAACTGTAGATTCTGTCTTTTACTGCTTTATGGGTCTTTAACTGTTGTATGTGTCATAACTTTGGATTGTTGCAGTATCTGTCTTTTACTGCTCTCTGTGTTTTTTACTGGTTTAATTTTAATACAGAATTATTTATTATGATATTGTTTACCCTCTTATAAATATTGTAGAAACCTAACTAGTGTGCCATTGGATTTTACTATACCAGCAACCATGACATTTTTACTGTAATAAAAAATGCCAGCACTCACCAGAACATGATAAGAAAGGTGCCAGTACTCACCAGAAAGTGTCTGTTATATAAAAACTGGAAAAAAAAAATGTTATCTTAACAAAAAGTACGAATACAACGTACCGTTGCGTACCAACAGAAAAAAGCCCTGTTGACACCATACACATAAAGCAGTGTGTAAGTAAACAACCCCGCACCTTCCCCCCAAATATTATATATATATATATATATATATATATATATATATATATATATATATATATATATATATATATATATATATATATATATATATATATATATATATATATAAATATATATATATATATATATATATATATATATATATATATTTATAAATATATGTATATAATATATAAGTACTCCTTTTCATATAAGGACATATGCTGGGTAAATCTTGCTGACCACTAAAGCAAAATCACTCAGCACTCACTGGGTTATGTGGTTACCAAGTTCCCAACCATCTTTACTTCCTATTAAATTTGGATTTAAATGTTTGCCAGGCCAGACTGTCAGACTTCTCTGTCAGCAGTTTTCTTTTTTTCTGTTTTTTTTTTTTTTTTTTGCGTTTTCCATTCCAGTCCTATGTCAGTCAGGGACTGTTGGATGTTGTCTTTCCAGCAAAGCCGGGTTTATTCTGGAAGACTGGCTGCCTGGTTCTTGGCTTCCTGTGCCTGCCGTGGTGGCCGATTCACTCCCATTCTACATACATATCCAAACCATCGTAACTGTGACTGATGTATCCAAGTTTGTAAGACCTTGGTTTAAAGATCATAATGTATTGTCTGGTTGCAAACTTTTTCCCCTCTTGTCACTTGGACCACCTTTCTCAGATACCTCTGAAATTTCATCATATCTATTTTAGACCATTGACCTGGGATTGCAGATCACTGAAATTGTTTTCTATTTCAAGTTGTATATGAACAGAGACCAATGGAAATGCAAACAGGCATGTATACTAACCACTGTATTAGCACCATTTTGTATATAAAAAAACTTGAAGAGCCAGGAAACAAATAATAGCATTAATATATCAACTTTAGGAACATATCTATTTTTAGGAAGGAGTAGAGAGTCATGATCACTAGATCAGATACCTGAATAAACAGCTTCTTCTTCTTTTGTTCGCCTGAAATAAGTTGTCTATATCAGCAGTTTTATCTCTTGTATAAATTTCACTGCAGTTGTTAGTTCATTCAGTGGTCCATAGAGGTTACGTTCCACTGTTGTTCTTTCTGGCCAAAAGGTTTGCCTTAATGTGTCAAATTCGGTGCAGTCCTGGAGTACATGCTCTGCTGTCTGGGGCACATTTCCACAGGTGCACATGGCTGATACACCTATCTTGAATTTTGTGTACATGTGGTTGAGTAATCGGTTGTGCCCTGTTCTGAGGCGGAGGATAATGACTTGTTCTGGTCTGTCCATAATAAAATAGTCCTCTTGTGCTGGGGCTGGTGGTTTCCTGATCGATTTAATGATTCTTTTCTTTTGGTGGTATGTGACTGGTACATCCGGCTGCTCTTTTGTCGCACCTTCCCCTGCCAGTTGATCAGCTTTCTCATTTCCAGGCACTCCACACGCAATGGAAATAAACAGCTCTTTTATATTGTTTTAACCAAATGATTTGCACGTTCTTAAACTCATTTCACACCAGAAAATCATTGCAATGTATCACAAACCAGAAAACCTTGTCACACACACTAGAAAAATTATTTTAATGTACTGTTAATTAGTTGCAAATCCTTTATAGGATGTTGTGGAACCAGAACAAACTCCAGCATTTGTTGGCTGTTGTGATTTTTCTAGGCAAATTTTACATTCAGTAGTTTGCCATTATAATATACTGCACAATAGAAAAAAATCATTATATCACACATTAGAAAAATCATTATAATATACCACACACTAGGAAAATCATTATAATGTACCACACACTTAGAAAATCCTTATAATATACCACACACTTGGAAAATCATTATATCACACACATGGAAAATCATTATAATATACCACACACTTGGAAAATCATTATAATGTACCACACACTTAGAAAATCTTTACAATAAACTACACACTTGAAAAATCATTATAATATACCGCACAATAGAACAATCATTATATCACACATTAGAAAAATCATTATAATATACCACACACTAGGAAAATCATTATAATATACCACACACTTGGAAAATCATTATATTATATCACACACTTGGAAAATCGTTATAATGTACCACACACTTGGAATCTAGATGGCTGGGACTCACAAGCAAAGCTTCAGGAATTGCCGAAGCTACTGCTCATGGGTCCTAGCCATCTAGTTTAGCACAATCCACGCTGCGTGGCTGTGGCGGCAGTCGCCAGAAAACCGCCGGAGAACTGCAAATTAGGTCGCAGGAGAACCGCAAATTAGGTCACGTGACTGTGGCTTGAAAGGAAATTTTGCGGCCGCCATCTTTACCGACCGTTATTCGGAGGATAGCCCATTATAATATACCACACACTTGGAAAATCATTATAATATACCACACGCTAGAAAAATCATTATAATATACGACACACTTGGAAAATCATTATAATGTACCACACACTAGAAAAATCATTATAATATACCACACACTAGGAAAATCATTATAATATACCACAAACTAGGAAAATCATTATAAAATACCACACACTAGGAAAATCATTATAATGTATCGCACACTAGAAAAATTATACTAATATGCAAAACACTAGGAAAATCATTCTAATGTACCACACACTTGGAAAATCATTATAATATACCACACACTAGGAAAATCATTATAAAATACCACACACTAGGAAAATCATTATAAAATACCACACACTAGGAAAATCATTGTAACATACCACAAACTAGGAAAATCATTATAAAATACCACACACTAGGAAAATCATTATAATATACCACACACTAGGAAAATCTTTATAACGTATCGCACACTAGAAAAATTATAATAATATGCCAAACACTAGGAAAATCATTATAATAAACCACATGCTAAAAAAATCATAATAATATACCAAACACTAGAAAAATAATTATAATTATACCACATGCTAGAAAAATCATAATAATGTATAACACACTAGGAAAATCATTATAATATACCACATGCTAGAAAAATCAATATAATGTACCACACGCTAGAAAAATCATTATAACTTACGACACGCTAGAAACCCAGGTTGACCCAGCCTTGAGTGGGTAATAGGTGTAGTCCCGGGAAGTAAAGGTGGCCAGCATGATGCTGACCACATCACCCATCTTGTGCCGATTGGTCTATAAAATATAGGTCTAGCCCTATATGCCCTATACGCTTAAAGGCGTGGAAAAGGGTCCTTTACCTTTCTTACATACTTAGACGCTAGAAAAATCATAATATAATGTACCACATAAAAAAATGAATCATATACCCTGCCCCACACAGTAAATCATAATTTCTTCTGCATTCACTCTTAAAAGGTCATTTGGCATTTTGTGTTGTGGCTCACAGCTAGGCTGCAAAGCTGCACCTTTAAGATTTACATGATCAATTTCAGCAAACCCCAACTTATCTGGATATTTCAACATGAATTGTGAATGGTATATTATAAGGTAGAGGTGTAAGACCCTCTGAATTTATCAGAATATGTTGGAAAATACAATGTTAACTTGGCAGTGTTTTATTAGCTCACTGCTGGCATTATAAAATATTTTTGTTGACATCACTGCTAACTTTGTCAAACTGCTGGTTAATTTTTCACTTACAAATCAGCACTTTTGTTCAGCTTCATCGTTATACAACCTTTTCTTTAGCTTTAATGTTGGTTTTAGAAAAATTTGTTTATCCCAT